ATTCCGAAATCGGAAATCTTTGGCTGCATGGTGGCATCCAACAAAACGTTACTAGCTTTCAAGTCTCTATGGATAATTTTCAACCTAGAGTCTTGATGGAGATATAACAATCCTCGAGCAATTCCCAAAATGATCTCAAAGCGCTTGCTCCAATCTAGAGATATCTTATTTGTTTTATCTGCAAGGCGAACATAAACTTTTTCATGCACTTATGCTTTTAATAACCGACTTGAGAACATATTATATACATAGTAATATTTTTTGGTAAGAACTTGAGAAGTGTGATGAAAATTCACCAAATATGAAACTGTCCAAGCTCTTGTTAGGCAAGTATTCATATACCAGCAGTTTTTCGTCTTGTTGAATGCAACAACCTAAAAGTCGTACAAGATTTCTATGTTGGAGCCTTGCTATAAGTGTAACTTCATTCTTGAATTCAATGGTCCCCTGCCCAGAAGTTGTTGACAGTCTTTTCACTGCTACAACCAGTCCGTTCTCAAACTTCCCCTACAAAAACATAAACAACCCAATATATTGTCATTAGAAATAGCAACAATTTACTTTAAACGATATATCTACACAACAAAACCATTCAAGCCTTATTCCCAATTATTTTAAGGTCTGCTAACATCAATAAATATCTTAAAATCAACATTGGTAATCGAATAAAAAATGTGATTTTTCATTAAAATTTCAAGAAAGTCATCGTCATCATTACCCCAGTGCGGCAAAGGCTCCCACCTATGGTGGGGTAACGGGTAAAATTTCAAGAAAGTAAACAACAAATTTAGTGAGCTTGAACCAAATGTCAAAATTATGATCTAATCTTGTTAATCTTAAACAGGGGTAGGCAAAAATCTTGCTTCCGTTCCCCCCTTCCAAAATATGCCAGAACCATTTCGATATTGTCTCATTTTGTTTGGGACCAGATCTTTTTTTCCCATATTGATTTTGAAAGGGGAAGGATTGAGACATCAGAAGGTTGCCTTGTGCCGACCCATTACGTTGTCCACTTGTCCCGTTTGTATGATTATATTGTTTTTATAGGATTTGACTATTTTGTATTGCAAGATAAAAAATTAAATATGGTATGCTTTCATTTTTACAAGTCCAAATTCTAAATTAAAACAATAATACATAGCATAAGTATCTACTACGTAGTAGTATAGAGTTCTCTTTCACTCTATTTTGTATGAGTTTTTCATTACTAGATGCCATTGTTTTAATTCAATTATTTCAATGTTTACTTCTTTTAAATTTCAAATCTATTATTTATTAAGATTAGTGCGGTTTTTTTACTACATCTAATTAAAATTGACTAGCCTTCAGTTTTTATTAAATATATAGCTTGTTATTATTAACGTTAAAAATGTTAAAATTTTGGTGCATCAATAGTAGAAATGCTAATATATTTTACTCCTGAATGAAGACTTTTTTGTTTACTATTCATTGCTAATTCGAGTCGTCCCAAACCGCCGCAAATCGTCCCGGTCCTAATTTAAATGGGACAAGAATAATAGGTCAAGGGCTTGTCCTGTCCCGTCCCAAAGCTTTGACCCTAATCTTGAACCGTTCCGAACTGCGCCCACGCCTAATCTTAATCATAAATTCATTGATTGTAAAATACTAGTAATTCATAATCATTCCCTAATGTAATGACAAGTGTTAAAAATTATTTGAAACATGGTTGTTGATTAGATTTTTCTGAAACAAAAGGATTATTTTATTGATAGAAAAAGAGAGGACAAGTAGGAGGACGTGTTGATTACAAGGTTGTTGATTAGTTCTGCTAGTTATTTGAAATTGTGATACTCATTAACTGAAAACAATACAAATAGCGCTAGACAGGACGACAGGTGGTTACCTTGTATACAGAACCAAAACCGCCTTCACCGAGCTTGTTGGCATCAGAGAAGTTATCAGTGGCAGCTTTAATTGAATTGAGATCATACACTAACACATCTGATTCTCCAGTTTCATCCTCATCTTTCCCCAAAACTGACCAATCCGAGGGTTTTAAACTAGTGCTCTTATCCTTGGACACGGGTTTTTTACCTAGAAATATATAACACTAATAAATGAACTTCATTACCAACAATAAAATTCATGCTTCGAACACGAGACTAGATTTTGGACCATAAAACATGCAAGAACAAGGCCTGGTAATGATTCAGCAAATCATGAACTTTTCTGAAATGATAAAACTTGGAAGGCAAAAATTACAACCAGACTGTGTCCATGTGTATATCATTATTGACTTATTGTACAGTTTTAATTAAAGAAGGGCAATGATGCATTTTCAGTTTTCACACCTTTTTCCTCATTAAATCATTCCCTGCTCCTACCAGGGAAAAAATTCATTATCCTCGAAGAAGAAGCAAATATGAAAATGAAATAGCATAGCTGTACTAGGCAAGGTCAATTACATAAAGTTTCAAAATAAACTACTCCGTACTATAAGAAAATTGGTTATACCTTTTCTTCTGAGTTTTACCATCACCCAAAAGAGTACAAGAAGAACTGCAACAATAGGCAAAACATAAGTGACAATAAGCCTTTTCCCATGAAGCCCTTTTGATCTCTCCACAACCTGAACTGCAAGACAATAAGGTACATGAACTCTCCCTCTAGAGTGAATTATGCAAAAATAAATATTCTTTTTGAACCAAATTAGCTTTCTGCAGATTGAAATGGAAAATATGTATTCAAATTCGAGAAAAAACAGTTACTTTGGAACAAATAATGTGTTAAAAGTTAAAACATTCAAATGTTAAGTTACTTTTTTATCATATTATTATTATGGTAAATCAAGAAAGTTACCTAAATCAGATGCAGAGACTCTAATATACATATCTTGGCCTCCCTTTGTGAACTGTCTGATATCTAACAAGGGACCATACCAAGTGATGCACCCACTCCCTCCCTCACTAATATTAGCACTTGCATACCCACTGCAAGAACAATTCTTCAAGCACATCTCTTCACAATCTTTCAGCCCAACGCTCCTGTTCACACGCGCCATCTGCGTGTCTGGGATTTTCACCAGCGTCATCTCCCGGAACCCTTCCCCCTTGCCGCAAACATCCGTGTTGTTCCTCCGGCAGCCACGGTCGCCGTCTCTCAAGTACCATTCCCGGCTGGATGTCGGCTGGAACCCGGGAAGGCAACTGCACTCGAACACACCCGGGTTGTCGGTGTTGCAATTGCTGAATGCACCGCAGTGATCGTATGCATCGCACCGGTCTTTCGGTGCGGACCAGAACCCGACCCATTTGTTCACACCGTCTCCTTGCCACGTCAGCCTATTCACCGTACCCGATTCGTTCAAAACGAATATGGAATGTATGGACGGGTCTCGGATCCAGTAACTCATGGTTACCTCGTCGTCGTTTTCTACGTAGTCGAGGTTGAAGATGTAATTTCGCGACATTTCGGGTATGCCGCTCCACCCGACTCCACTCCACGGTCCGGTTCTCCATATCAGGTCGGATCCACTGTAGAGAAAAATCTGGGGCGTCCCGTTAAGATCCATTTTGAATTCATACTGACCCAACCCCGGATCTGCCGGCGACTTCCACGACGTAAGATACCTGTTCGTCCCGGTTCTCTTGTTGACCCCGAATTTCATGTGAGGAAGGATAATATGGGTCGGGTAATCGAAACTCTGCCATGAATTTACTCGTCTATCCGGGTCGCTATACAGGACTAAATTCCCAGTGTCCTGTAAAAGAGCAGAGTAAACGTTTTTCCCGGTCGCCGGGAAAGAAAGACTTGTGTTCCAGACGGAAGCATTGGTTTTGTTGTCTTTCACGACGAGATTCCCGCCGATGTCGATGAAGATGACTCCGGTTGTTCCGTTGACTGGGCTGTTTCTGTTGGCCACCCAAACGACGGTTTGTGCTGGGATTTTCTTGAACCAAATTCCTGCATACCGTTTGTCGGGTGAATTTTCAGGGGAGAAGAATCCAAGAACGAAAGATCCCGCATTTGAGGTTAAGAATTCCCCATCTATCAGGGTTTGGTTGAAGGTAAGAGTATCGGTGAGGCCATAGGAGAAAACAAGAGAAGACAAAGCCAGAGCCCATAACAATCTTGAGGAGTGAGGCCATGTTTGTCTCCCCATATTTTCAGGTTTCTTCAGTTGGCAACTTTAATTTAAGCTTATCAACATTCAACAACCTGTACAGAAAGAAACAGATAGCTAAATGGTGGTTTCTTGCTTTTCTGACTGGCCCAACATTAAATGCACCAGTAGCTAAGCAATAGTGACTTGTAAGTTCTTAGTCTTTTGAATTTATGAATCCGAGGTAGGTAGTGTTACAGCATGTTGTAGGTGACGTGTCCGGTATTGGTCCGAGTATTAGAGCAGCACCGGCATACACACACATGCCATTAGGCAAGCGGCAGCAGTTTTCCTCGCCTTTCCTTCTTCATCCTCAGCACTTCTTCCTTCCCTTTCATATTTCCTAACTTTAATCAGCCATTTTCGCGATTTGGGTATGCAAAACGAAGCCTTTGTCTCAATTGTATACTACATTCCTTCACTGATTACCATTTACCAATTTTCAATCTTACTATTTGCAAAAATCCTGCTACATGTGTTGTTTCAATATTTATTTATTTTGGGAAAAAATTGCTTCCCATTAGATAATTCAAATCGTGGTTTACAACATTGATCGGAATAAAGTCCTGGTTACTACTAAGATCTGACTAAAGAATGTTAGCCCTTGCAAGTGCAAAATATTAGAGAAAAAGATGAATTCTCTTTTTCATCCACCCAAAGGTCCATGGGTAAGACCTTCCTTTGTCCCTATGGACAACCTCTAGAGCATCTGTCTTGATGTCCACATGACCCCAACCTGCTTGAACTGCCCAAATTAAAGACTACAAAAATCCTCTTGCCTCCGATACTTTCGGTGACCAGTCCGCCTTGATGGATCCTCTTTTAGGATGTTTTTACTTGGACTAAAATTTGCTGGTCTAGTCTGTTTATCTCTAGTCTGATATATGAGGATAACAGTACAAGTAAAAACATCTTTAGCACCAAAGAAAATACCATGTGAATCCGGAGCGATGCAGCCCCAAGCCTGTCTGGCCACCTCCTCGTTCCATGCCGCATCCACATTCACTTTAACTCGTCCGTTTCCAGGTCGCTGCCATTGAGCCATCTGATTTTCCCCAAGCTGCTGCCTCGTAGTTGCTGGAATTTGAGCTTCTCTCCAGCCCTTCAACATAGCACCTGGCCCCCTTAAAACAGTCCTTTCATCTTGATTCACACCTTTCCAAACCAACTCATTTCTCCTTTCTATCAAGCTCCAAAATATCATAACTAATCTGCACCATGTCTCATCATCTTTCCCCTCCAAAAGTTTTCTAACCCAGTATGTCAAACTTGGAGCTGAAATGTCAAAACCAGTATCTACTATTTGTCTATTTGCCATACCCCCTTCGATTTAATGCATGAATGAAAAGCGTGCATTAATGTTTCTTCTTCAACCCCACGAAGTCTACATTCTGGTTGTATATCAACCCCCCTTCGACACAGTCTCGACGCTACGGGAACGCTTCCAGTCATTGTTTGCCAGAAAAAGAATTTTACCTTTGGCAGTATTTGTAATCCCCACACCTTTGTCCAACCAAGCCACTCACTCATCAACCCCGGCCCCGGCCCTGCCTTTAACCTGTGACAACTCTTAACCGTGAACGTGCCATCCTTTTCCCCGCCCCACCAAACAGTATCATCTTGCGGGTACACACTTATAGGGATGCTGAGAATCGTTCTGCAATCTTGTGCAATAAAAAGAGAGGAGATCCGCTCAACATTCCAAGCTGAACTATCCTTCGACCTTAATGCCGCAACATTCATATCTCGAATATAAGGAGGTCTTTGAGAGACTACATGGGCCGACCCTGGCCGTGGGAGCCATGCATCAGCCGACACACACACATCTCTACCGTGACCAGCTCGTCTTCGAATGTTTTCGGTAAGAACTGGTTGTGCTTCCAGAATGCTACGCCAAATATAGGAACGATTCCTTCCCAACTTTGCCTCAAGAAAAGAAGAATCTGGAGTATATGTTTTTGTAGTGAGTCTCCAAGCTTGCTTAGCAAGCATGGCAATATTGAAATCCCGCAATCGCCGAATCCCTAGCCCTCCTTCCGACTTCAGTCGACAAAGCCCGCTCCATGATTTCCACTTTATGCCTTTCCTGCTCCCTTTCGTTCCATTCCACCATTAGCCATTCATAATTATTTCAATTTCTTCACACAACTCTTTCGGCAATAAAAATACATTCATAGTGTAGTGTAAATTGGGAGTGCGTGCGCCACGTTTTTCAAGAGTACCGCCCTTCCAGCCCGGGATAAAAATCCTTTAATTTTATTTATAATCCTCTTGCGGAGATAACTCAGAATAACACGCTTCCCCCCCCTGCCCACCAATGTCGATAGCCCGAGATACTTTGGTTGGTTCTCTTCTTCTGTGATGCCCAGTCTATTACAGAGAGACACACGGGTAGCTCCCTCCACATTAGGACTAAATGTAATGCTGGATTTATTAAAGTTGACCATTTGTCCCCAGAATAACTCATATTGATGTAGTATAGATTTAGTGGCATCACACTCACTTTCGGTAGTCTTAAAGGAAAGAAAGCTATCATCCGCCCGCAAACAATAAATGAGATTGATGGAGTTATGGGACTAGGCCCAGAGCCTAATAGCCCAAGCCCCGAACTTGGATCCGTGGATCCAAATCCACAACCTAGAGCCTGCCTATCAGCCCAGCGGGGAGCCTGCCAGTCCGGCCGACCTCCCAGCCTGGAAGAGTAACGGTCAAGCAATCAATGCACTATTAATCATGTATTTAATTCCGTATTAATGTTGTAATTAATTAGTCATTATTATCGGTAGCGGTTACGATTTGTATACGCCTATAAAAGGCTGGTTGTAATTCAGATTAGGGGAGACAATTTCTATATGTTATTTCTGGCAACTAAACACTTTTAGTTTCTTTCCTTATTTGCATTATTTTCCTGATTTCCTGCTTGAGTGTTGTACGTAGCTTTCCTAAAAGTCTACGAGCGTCCAATTTTGGACCAACATTGGTGCTTTCATTGAGAGTCTCTATTGTCTCTCACATCACTTTAGTAGGAATTAATCAAGAAATTTAGCAAAACAATAGAAGAAAAAGCTTCTGAAATTTGGGATTTGCGATTTTCCGACGTTGGTATTCACTCAGGCATTCCAACAAAAATTGGCCGCCGCAAACTGCTGCGCCAGATTGTGGTCGTCCTAGCCACAAAGGTCACGGAGAAACCCGTTGGTTGGATTTTGCTGAAGCGATGAAGCAACCAAGGCTTGCACTAACCCAGCGGTGAAGTTGAGATCGACGCCAAACAACGAGTACGAGCTACACCACAACCGTCAAGGCACCGGACGCCTTGCCTCTGGTTTCTCCGCCACCGACCAAGTCTCCATCGCAGATTAACAATCTGGCCTCACTCCCGGCAGTGAAACGGCCTAATGAATCTCCGGCATCGATGGTGGTGGTGGAATCAAGGCGAACCACACTGTTCGAGGATTAGCCGGCGGCAGTCATGGCGAGAAGTACCCCTCATATGGGCTGAAGTACACCAGACATATCCGGCCGCACCCTCTCTGTTGATCTGTTCTGTTCAGGGCAGTCATCCGCATGGTCATCAACTCTGGGTCAATTTGACCAATGCATTTGAGCCATAGAGAGTGGACTCCATTTATGCCAACCAGACAAAAGAGTGGGCAAGCCCACCTTTGGCTCAAACATATTTTCCAGCAGCCTTGATTTAACAACCCATTTGGGGTTCAGCCCATTCCAAAAGCTAAGAGCTCTCTCCAATTTTTTATTAATAAAAAAAATCAAAAATTGAAACATTTGAAAAGATATTTTAAGTGATATGATTGCTTTTACTCTTGTTAAGTGTGTGTAATTTTACCATTGAACAATGGACTTATGAAATCTAATCACTCATGTACGCCGACGAGCACACACACTCGTACACTGGTCGAGCACACACACTCGCGCCACCGGATCACGTCATATGGGTGTGACGATTAATAAGCTTCAATATAAATGTTAATACCACACACTCTTGACTTCATACGAGTTCTTGCGTGCTCTTACCTCTGCCTAGTGCATCACACTCCGACCTCGGGGGATGAGTCACCCGTTCAAAAGTTTTTACTTGCGGGTTCGAACTACTAAACTCGGGCGGCGAGTTAAACTCTTGTTAGGGGCCTAGAGCCATGCTCTTCCGAGCAATTTTGTCACTTAATTGACATTCACATTTCTCGAAAAGGTTGATATTTTTTAGTTCTTTGGGGTTAGATTATCTGTTCGAGTGAGGAGTCCGACTCACTTACTCGCGGATTCAATCTTTCTTTTGGAGACTAGGTTGAGGCCTAACTTGGGAACTTGATGTCACTCTTTTCAAGTAGTTAGTCCGACTCACTTACACACTGAGCTGTGGTTCGACATCAGGCCGGATGCTCTATTCTACACTAGTTTCTTTTATGTGTAGGTACAACTGAATGAAGTGGGGGACTGAGGGTCTTTCCATCTTCAAGGAAGCAAATGAGGAACCTGATGAGTCTGAGCCCGACGAGAAGAACAGTTCTAGTCATCCTCTTCACAGATGGCGACCATCGCAATGAAGACTGAAGATTTCACCCCTTGGTACATCTTGGGGGCATCATGTGTACTCTTTTTCCCTTCATTAGGATTTTTTCCCATTGGGTTTTTTCCTGGTGAAGGTTTTTAATGAGGCATCTCCCCGACATGGACGAGGGAGGAGATCTTCCAGTCTTGAAGAAGAGCAACTGACTTGGACTACTCCCTCTTAGCTGAGTCTACTACTCGACTAAAGGAGTGGGGGACTCGTGATGGAGTTATGGGACTAGGCCCAGAGTCTAGTCAGCCCAAGCCCCAAACTTGGACCCGTTGATCCAAGTCCACAACCTAGAGCCTGCCTATCAGCCCAGCGGGGAGCCTGCCAGTCTAGCCGACCTCCCAGCCCGGAAGAGTAACGGTCAATCAATTAATGTGCTATTAATTATGTATTAAATTTCGTATTAATGTTGTAATTAATTAGTAATTATTATCGGTAGCGGTTACGATTTGTATATGCCTATAAAAGGCGGGTTGTAATTCAGATTAGGGGAGGCAATTTCTATATGTTATTTCTGGCAACTAAACATGTCACGCCCCGGACCCACCCAGACACGTCAACAATCCGCCGTACAGTACGAATAGTCAACCGCATATCAACACATCCATACTATACAAGGCGTCTGGAATATCATTCACACATAGTACATCCATAAACAAACATAATGTAAAACATTCATTAAAACAGTAGAAACATTAATACAAGTGTTCAAGCCACACTTGGCAAACTTAGGCATACAAGCCCTCAAATAATTATTCAAAAATAATATCCATGAGCATTATTCATATTGTTTTCAAAACAGAAACGGAAGAAGCACGAATCAAGTCTTCTTCCTTTGATCTCCCCGAAGCAACGGGCGGTGGTAGCAACCTTCAAGGTCTACCTGAAACTATGAGGTGGCCTCCCCCGTGAAGGGGAGGTCAGTACCTTGAATCATTTGAAAAGTACAATGACAACTACACTATATATAATCAATGTTTCAATTTCTAAGACCCTCAATCTAGGGTGATACTATATTATAGGTCGTAACCATCGGTTACCCTATTTAAAACCTACTTACCTTATATATAAGGTCAAGTAGTCGGCTCGTGAGTCCTTGCTTACCTTATCACGTCTTTTCACCATGGTAGAGTCACATTCATCGATACCATTCCGTCGTGCTAGAGGTTGACTCTATTCACTCCATTTCGTGCTAGAGGCTTCCTCTAGTCACTCTACATTATGCTAGAGACTTCCTCTAGGTCATTTCCCGTCGTGCTAGAGGCTCCCTCTAGTCACTATCCGTTATGCTAGAGGTTTCATCTAGGCATCTTACGTTATGCTAGAGGCTTCCTCTAGTCACCATTCAATATGCTAGAGGCTCCCTCTAGTCATATTATCAAATTCCTAAGCAACTTCTATGCCTAAGATCACTTCATATTGAGTAGCCTTTAAGGCCCACCCCTAGCTTAACTTAGCATTTACACATTCCTACCTTAAAGTATTTCATAAGACTACTTAAGGTATATCTTTTACGATCCAAGCCCTTAGGATTTATTCTATCATTTTTCATGCTAACATTCCAACTAGTTTTTCAATACTATTCAAGTAATTTTAGAAAAACCAAGTTCTTAATTCATAGTCATATTGCTCATCTCAATTGATTTTCCAATCCAAATATGATTTAACCCCAATATAAAAAATATCACTTTTATCCATTCATGATTTCTTTACATGAAGTAAAAGTATATTTTGTCACAATATTTCACAATTAATTTCATTATCATGCTATCATATTCATAATACACAATCTCTTCTACATTTGTATATCATGCTTCATTTACTCATATGCAATAATATTTTCATTTAGGGATTATTAATCATTAATAATCCATGAAAATCACATTTGATACTTTAGGTATATAGTTGGTCATCCTCACCTCGGATGAGCTTTGAGAAGTTCTACCCTTCTCGGTTGAACTCCGGCGAAACTCCGGCGAACTCTGGTGATACTCCGGCGACAGTTAGGAACACCTTAGTGAAGCTCCTAACAAGGCTTTATCATCACAAAACCCATATCAACATGAATAACCCCTAAAAGGTTGTTTTCCGGCGAACCGGTCACTATGGCTTCTAAGTCCGTTCTTGGACTTAGAACATGTAGAACAATCCTAGGGGTCCTCAATATGATATATAAGTCATATGAAGAATAAAAAGTAAAGGAAAAGTCATTATAAGGTCATTACCTTAATCCTTCACACTTTTCCCTAGCTTTTTTCTTCTTAAATCTTCCTCCTTGGACCTCTATTGTTTGAGCTCGAATTTCCAGCTATGGAGGAGGATATTTTGAGCTTCTCTCTCATGGTACTTTTGATGCCAAATGCATTTCCTCCACATTTCATTAGTCAACACCAGCCCCCTCACATTAATTTGAGCACACAAAAACGTGGGGTGAACCCCACTCATGTGGGAGGTCATCCCTTTGTGTCCCAATCTGTACAATCGGTCCCGAAAGTTGTATTTTTCGGACCGTTTTAATTATATTTTATTTTATCGGGTCAAATAAAATATAAAACATGTTCCAAATCATTAAAGGCTTTTAGAATGGATGTACATTCCCCAACTTATATTTAGAAGTCTCCGAAATTCATTTCGGGTTGTTATTCGAAAAATTCCCAATACCGGTAATTGGGCCTCGTTTGACCAACGGGTCAACTCTATGCCTTTTCTATAGCCCAACTAAAATATCCACCACCATATACATCATATTAGATGAATATAGTATGTGGTTCTGGAATTATCGGGTGGTCCCTGTTCCCGCTGCGGGCCCCGCGTGCGATTCAGTATTCACGCAAAAGAAATAACAAATATTTACAACTTCGCAAATTCCTAACTCATTCTTCAAGGTTTGTTACATGATTTACTGAAAAGTAAAATATGTTTGGGGACGGTATTACAAAACACTTTTAGCTTCTTTCCTTATTTGCATTATTTTCCCGATTTCTTGCTTGAGTGTCGTACGTAGCTTTCCCAAAAGCATACGGGCGTCCAATTTTGGACCAACAGAGATACTCTGGGAGCTCTCATACAAACCGCTACTCCATGAATGTCACCATTGACTTTGGCCCTTCTCAAAACGACACTCAGGTCGTCCGCCACTAAGATGAAAAGGTAAGGGGGACCAAGGATCTCCTTGCCTAATTCCTATTCCTTTCTCAATGGGACCCAAAAAATCATTGTCAAATTGAATATAGTATTTGAGGGTTGTTACACATTTCATAACCATATCAAGCC